GAGGTTGGGGGCAGGTGAGGTTGGGGGGCAGGTGAGGTTGGGGGCAGGTGAGGTTGGGGGGCAGGTGAGGTTGGGGGCAGGTGAGGTTGGGGGCAGGTGAGGTTGGGGGCCGGCGCTCCCTCCCCGTCCTAGCAGGGGACGGACTCCAAGCCGACCGCTCCAGGCCTGGGCTGCAGGACCCTGGGCGATGACGGCTCCTCGTCTCTAAAACAAGTGGCACTGTCTCCCAAAAAGGCTTCTCGGAAGACACACTCAGCGCACGCACATAGAGCGGCAGCGGCAAGCTTCTGCCGCCATGTGTTACTTGTTTAACTTTTTTTTAAAGATAAAATACGTGTGTTAATACGCAAGCTGCTCTTGCTAAACCAAAACCTCCACATTTGGGTTTCACTGCAGTGTCGGCACTTATCAGCCGGCTCGGGGCCTCTGTCAGAGCGCTCAGGCCCTAAGAGGCTCCCTATCTGGGCCTTGGAGTAAGCCTGGTGCTCGCTGTGTCCACCGCGTCCTGGCGGCTGAGACAGCACGCCCTCATTTCTCACCATTCCGGAGCCTGCAAAGCTCAAGAGCGAGGTGCTCACAAATTGGGTTTCTGGTTGGACTTTTCTCCGTGGGTGGCCGAGTTCTGTGTGTGTCCTCCCATGCCTCTCCTCTGCAGCGAGTGGGAAGAGACATCTCTCTTCCAGCTAGAGCCTCGCCCTTAAGACCTCCTTTAACTTTAATTAAGACTCTCTCTCTCTCTCTCTCTCTCTCTCTCTCTCTCTCTCTCTCTCTCTCTCAATGCCATGCCGTAGTTAGGGCTTTCACATATGAACAAGGGACACAGCAGCCGCACACACGTGGGGTGCATGGAATACATGCTAGTCGTTGTCATCACTTTTTTTCCCCGGAACCGGGAATTAAACTCAGGCCCTTGCGCTTGCCAGGGAAGCGCCTATTCTACTGAGCCGTCTGCCCGGCCCATCGCTACTGTCTTTACCGTTATTAGCTCTGTTGCTCTCCCATTAGCATCGCTGCTGCTGCCGCCGCCACTGCCGCCCCATCACTGCTGTTCCAGTGTTGCCCGCTCTGCTACGCTAATCCTACTTTGGTAGGGAAGGCAGGCGCTTAACAGGTTGGCCCGGCCTCCTCACAAAGGGAATGTTGAAGGAGTTCACACAAGCCGCACATGATCTGATGTCTAGAGATGCTCCCACCAGGAAGAGCAGGGCGCTGTCATTGACGAGGTCACACTCGGAATTTAGGACTTGGTCCCTGCGCAGCCTGTCTTCCTCCCAAGGCTGCAGGAAACATAATTCCGAGTTGCACTTCAGTGGGAATGAAAAGCGGAATGATCCAGGGTTCTGGCTCTGCTCTGTGGACCTGTTCATCCTCCACCAAGTCACCATCCCCACCTGTGATTCAGTGCCCTAGTTCACAAGTTGAGGATGTCACGATAGCACCAAGGTTCTGATGGAAACCAGGGATGCCATACCACCAAGGGAGAGTGCTAGCCCTTTTGATCTTCTTTGGATGCAGGTTCTCATTAAGCTGCCCGGGCTGGGCTTGAACTGGTGACCCTCCTGCCTCAGCCTCTCCAGGAGCTGAGATTCCCACCACGCAGCACATCATACATGTATTGCGTCTCTGGCACGCTAGGGACAAAGCAGTGCACAAACCAGACGCCATCCTGCTTCAGAGAGCTTACATTTTAGTGGACAGGACACTGAAGCGGGCAAGTGCATGCTGTACCTAGACAGCGTCTAGTTAAAGTCCACGTGAACGGTGGGAACAGAGAAAGAAACAAAGAGGAAGGCAGAGTGGCCAGGGCCGGCCGGGGGTTGGGGCTGGGGTGAGAAATTCAGAAAGGCTTTGCTGAGGGGGCCGCTTCGGGGTGAGATAAGCAGAGCACACTTGGGCCTGTGGAGGCGAAGGAAGGCGCTGAGGGGAGAACAACTGCCAGGCCCGTGCGCTCGGAGTCACCGAGTCACGATGAGGATGGAGCGGATGGGGGACGGACGGGCGCACCGCCCTGGCCCGACCGCTGTGGCCGCCCTGGCTCCCTCTGGCTCCCTGTACCCAGCAGGGTGCCACAGACAGGTCCAGATCAGGAAGCCACCCGGCCTGATTTCCAGCCTTCAAAGGTCCCTCTGGCTGCTGCCAGACCAGACTGCAGAGAGCCAGAGCAGGGACGAGGGGAGAAGTGAGGCCAAGGGCCAGAGAGGTCACAAGGGGCTCATTTTTTTCTCTGAAACTGTAAGCACCAGCAGCACAGGAAGTCTTTTGGCGGCTCAGAGGAACTCCCTGTCTCCAAGGACCACCTAGATTTGTGTGTCTCAGGCACAGTACTACTTCCTTATGGCTGGGAGAACTCCAACTGTGATGCTATGTTTAGACCCCTATTTTTTTTAATTAAAAAAAATAGCAATAAAAAATTAGAAATGATACAGAATTTCATTAAACAAAATAATATGAATTTGACAGTATCTGTTGCACTGCATAGTGTCGTCTTCAATTTACTTGTTCAGATTACCAGATAGGTGCACGCAAAATTGGAAAAGAAAGAAAAAAGAAAAAAATAGTTATAAGAAATTAAGAAATAGGCCAGCCAGATAGCTCAGTGGATTAAAGCGTGTGCTTAGGCAGAGTGCATCGGCCAGGGTTCGATTCCCCACGTGCCTTGCCAGCTACACCGCTGAGGCACACTGAGATTGAGACTGGACGTGTTGATGCGCACCTGTAATCCCAGTGCTTGGGAGGCTGAAAACAGGAGGCTCACTATAAGTCCGATCTACATAGTGAGACCCTGTAGGCCCTGTATTAAATACATTAAAGAAAAAGAAAGAAATTAAGAGAGAAAGAGAGGGAAAAAGAAAAAAATTAAGCATTAACTGCTCCTTTCTGTGGATCATCAGAAATCCCCAGCACAACCGTCCAAGTCACCCTGCAAGCGTACATAGATACATCTCTTCCCCTGCTTCCTGTCCTTTCTCCTCACCTCAGTCTTTCTCTCCTTTTGAGCAGATTCATTCCCCTTTCCCAGAATCTATTTTTACATAGTGGAGTATTATTCAGCTATAGAAAGGGATAAATCAGGGGCCTTGATTGGCAAATGGATGCAACTAGAGACCATCCTCTTAGGTGAAATAGATCAGACCTGCATGTGCAAACATCAAACCGTCTCCCTAGTGTAAGGACCTGAAAGGATAAATAACACTGGAAGGTAGAGTGCACCCCCATTTGGACTAAGCCTTGGGGTTGAGCATGCAAAGCACTAGAAGGGGCGGGCGATCCCCAGGGAAGGCTTTTCTGGCCTTTGGCCACTTGGGCTGTCTTGTCCTCCAGGGCTGCAGGTCATCTTGTATGTAGACGAAGAGGAATACAACCCCTTCCTGGTGTCCTCCACTGGCGCAAAGGTGCTAATTCACCAGCAGAACGAATATCCCTTCATCGAAGACGTGGGCACAGAGATCGAGACCGCGATGTCCACCTCCATCGGAATGCACCTGGTAAGAGCGTGTTCTCATTCTGTAGGCGTGGACAGCACATTTTGTTTTTAAGAAAACCTAGTTAGGCACAGCTTAAGAAAAGGATGTCTCAAAAAAACAAAACAAAACAAACAAACAAAAAAAAACCATGGCTCTGTATTTTCCAGTGGTTCCCCAACAGTCATGCCAGTAAGTACATCAAAAGTATCTTGTGTCTTCTGTGTGAATGAGCAAAGATAAGGTACTCATGGGGGAAAAATTTAAAGCATCTTACTCAAAAAAAAAAAAAAAAAAAAAAAAAGAAGAAGAAGAAGAAAGACAACAGCATTTATAGCACCATGATGGGGAAAAAGCGTCAGTTATATGTTTGTCAGTAATAGAATAGAGAAAGTTAAGCTCTATCTTTCTGGGATGGCTGGAGGTCCCAGAAGCGAAGGCTAGTGGGAAGTCTCTGGTCTTCAAGGGCTGCGGAGCTAATACGGCGCCCATCCGTGCTGCCTCATTTATCAAAACCCCTCTCCCTCAGCCTTTCACCTTCTCTGACCTTGAAAACATTCCAACTTATTGATAGGAGTGCAGCTGGGCCTCAGACTCCCACCACCGTTATTGATGACTCCGCTTTGAATCTTTGCCAACCCTTCAAGAACAAATAGTGTCTATTATATTTTTGCTTCATATTTCTTCACAGTAGCTTTTAAAAAACCTGTTTGCAGGTGGAAAATCAAAGAATCTCTCTGTGGATTATCTATTCCTGCCTTTATTTGCACCCAAATTTATTCCATGTTGAACTTCGGACCCCTCATCCCCCACAAACTTGCCCTCCAGAAGAGTGGTTTCTGAACCTCTGTGGCCACAAGGTTCAGGTGGACTAGGCCAGAATCTCTGGGGGACGAGCCCCAGGAGTCCTAGTTTTTAACCTGTCTCCAGTGATTATTACAAGAGGCGACACACTGGGGAAATGTGTTCTTAGGAACTTGAGCAATTGTGAACTACAGGAGAAGAAAATCATATGAGCTGAGCAACTCAGAAGGCCCGCCTCACAGCTGCAAGCGGCTGTAATGGTTTCTACAGCGACAGGGCGGGCAGTAGGGGCTCAGACAGCCGTGCATCCCTGGGCCACTCCACAATGGTCTGCTCAGTGCTTCTTAGGCTTTAGACACTGGAGACCCAGCTTGTGCACAATACTGTCCCTGTCCTTGTGGAACCTAGGCCAGCAATGAGGATCAATAATTAGAAATTATGCCATGATTTATTATAAGCACCGAGTACCATGCAGGAGAAATGCAGGCTGCCTGAGTGTGTGTTAGCCTGTTTGCTGATGTTAGAAGAACATGGCTAAAATGGGAATTTCCAAGGAATAGAAGTTGACTTGTACTTTTTTTTTTTTTTTTGGTAACCAGGGATTGAACTCAGGACCTTGCGCTTGCCAGGCAAGCACAAGCACTTATTGCACTGAGCTATCTCCCCGGCCCTTAGAAGTTGATTTGCCTCGCAGGTGTGGAGGCTACTAAAGCTCAGAGCACAGTGCTCAGGTCTGGGAAGGGCCCCTGCGGCACCAGAACCTTGTCTGTGCTTCGCATGGGGAGACAGAGCCCCGGCGCTTGCTCAGGGCCGGCTCTGCATATAAAGCCACTAAGGCAATTGCAGTCCCACCCTCATGGCCACCTCAACCCTCAGTGCCTCCCAAAGACCCCACCCCCAAGAGTTAAGCTTGGATAATGGAGAAGATGAATTGGGATGGGAGCTCTAGAGCCCTCGGGCCATCTGCGGCTAGAGTGCCGCCTACTGCCTCATGAAGAGGACAGCTAGGGACAAGGGCAGCCGGCTGGCTGGCTGGCTGGCTGTGCAGACCCTTCCCAGGCTGTTTCAAGTGGGAGGGAAGTAGTGTGTGCAAGGCTGGGCGGTGCAAACGCCAAATGTGGAGTACAGTATTGAGCCCTCACCTGCTTGGGTACAGGCCTGCAGAGCCGAGGATGCCGCCTCTGGAGCCGGCCTCCGCCTTGTCTCCTATGGAGACCAGGGCACAGGCAGGGCCAGCAGGGCAGGCTGTGACCCAACAGCTCCTCCACGTTTCCACCACACTGAAGGCGGTGCAAGCTTGGCACCTCTTCCTGCTCTGTGCTGTCCCCTTCTCCCTGTCTCTGCCTCCCACGGCATCTGCAAGCTGGTCTGAGAGAACCTGGAATTTGCAGAAGCACAAAGAGGAACGGATTGTGCCCTCCGCATTTCTGCGTTGAGGCTGGCAGCCACCACCACGTTGTTAGGCAATGTCTTCTTTGTTAGCGGCGGGTAAACAGAGACCCGAGTGAGTTCTCTGCTACACCTAATTTAAGATGTAGAAAATGAACCACATAGAGCAAGGTCAATCAGCTGTAGGCCTGATTTATGAGCATTTAGAACAACAACACCAACAACAAAAAAACCCAGGAGGTGAGCAGGAGGTCACTGAGAACGGGCACTGTATGTACTCAGACTTCCTCCCTGGTTTGTTTATTTATTTACTCATTTAAGTTTGATAATTCAACTAGTGGGCTTAGCTAAGCAATTGTTGCACTGACTTCCCTTACTTCATTGAGAAAGGATGCACGTTCAAAGCACCAGACATTCAAAGATGAGCATATCAGAGCTACTTTCTTCAAATACTTTTCCTTGCTGAAGAAAAGACAAAATTAACATAGCCTGGCAATAGGCTTCCTACCGCGGCAGAAGCAAGTCTTTGTCCATCTTATAGCCAGTCTCGGTTCTTGGGACGCAGCTAACACCCAGTAGCTATTGGAGGGATGCTGGCTGGTTGACGGGTGGATTCATGGGGGATGGACAGACAGAGGTAGAAGCTTTGGGGAAAGACTTCCAAAATCATGAATTGTTTTGTTTGCTTTCTGAGACTGGGTTTCACTAAGCAGCCTGGGCTGACCTCAAACCAGCTATGCACCCAGGCTGGCCTCCAACTGCGAGCCTCTTGATCACAGGCAGGCACCACCACACCCAGGCCTCAGTGATGAATTCTTGAAGGACGAATGTCTTACAAACAATGTGAGGAAGGGTTTGTCCATGAGAACTGTACAGCAATTACAGAAGGGCCACAGAAACTACGTTAAGCCAGCCTCTGAAAAATCACTTTGGTCCAAGTGTAATCAGTACACTAGAGAGAGACAATGCAGGCCTTTGCTGAGGTACAGGAGGTAGGAGGAGAAGGAAACAGACTTTAGAGATGTCACCATGTAGAAGCAAAAGGCTTGACAACCCATGTTAGCAAGAAGAGCCGGGGGAACTTAGGTGGATGCTTAGGTCCTAGCGCAGGCAGTGGGGTACGCTGTGTCAGGCGCAGAATTAGGTGACACAAGCAGAGGGAGATGACCACTTCAGTTCTGGATGTGCCCATTCTGCTGTGCCTTGGGAAAAAGAAGGTGAGAATAAAGCATCCAGGATGTAGATGCTACAAACCTGGCGCTCAGGAGAAAATACGAGAGGAAACGCCAGGCCCGCAAGTGAGTGTCCTCAGCGAGGCAGGAGCAGAGCCCTGCACACTGCAGATGTTTAGGGGCCGAGCAGAAAGAAAGTGGACAAGGAGAGTCTGAGGGAAAGGACCAGGAGCCAGCAAGAGATAGCGACAGGGAGGCCAAGAAAGGCCTTTCAGGGGGTGAACGCAGGTGCCAAAGGCAGGTGGGCAGGCTACCGAGAGCCAGGGGAAGGGCGTTCCCGGAGCTCTTTGCCATACAGATTTCAGTGGTAAGCAGAACCAACCTACACAGGGCTGGACAGGGCCGGGGAGAGAGCTCAGGTGTAAGCGCCTGCCTGGCAAGCACAAGGTCCTGAGTTCGATCCTGGGTACCGAAGGGCTGGATGGTAACTGGGGGAAGTGGTGTGAACAAGGGTGGGCCACTCGCCCAGGGGCTGTGCGCAGGTCACAGGGAAGGGAGCTTCTGCCGTCACTGTGGGTCCCTCTGGACTTTTCATCGTAAGCCCATCCACAGCTGCCTTTCCCAAGCGCATGCGTTGCAGGGCTTAAGGCCAAGCCCAGCTTTGTAGCTGTGCTAAGCAATCTCCGAGCCTTAGTCACCTCATCTGTAAAGTGGGGGCGCTGATAACAGTGATGCTCTTTTGTGACTAAGAAAATTCTTGTAGAAAGCCCTCAGAAATGACTGGCTATCGCTCGTGCTTTTCTAGGAAAAAAGATGTGAAGGGAAGGAAAAATAAATTTGAAGCAGAAAAGATTGCTGAGCCATGGAGATAGCTCAGGGGTACAAGCGTCTGCCTGGCAAGCACCAGGTCCTGAGTTCAATTCCTGCACCTGAAAAAAGAAGGCTTGGGGAAGGCTGCTTTTATTTCCCCCCTTCTTTTCTTTTTTCCTCCTGCTGCTTTTCCCTTTTTCTCATCCTCTCCTCTTCCTCTTTTTCTGTGTGTGTGGAGCCTTTGTACCAAGCTAATTTACCAGCCCTTAAATAAAAGAATTTAGGGCCGGCCAAAGAGCTCAGCAGATTAAAGCACCTACAAGCAGGCACAGGGGCCGGGTTCGATCCCCAGGCCTGCGGTGCCAGCCCCGCCCCCAGGGCGCGCTGACACAGCGATTGAGACTGGGCGGGTGGCGCGCGCCTGTAATCCCAGCGCTTGGGAAGCTGTGAACAGGCGGATCACTAGGAGTCCAATCTTGCAGTGAGACCCTGAACACCCTGGAGACCCTTCCCTAAAGTACAGAAAAATACATAAAAAATTTGGAATAGGTTTGTGCTAACTCGCTGTGGTGCTTCCAGGGGCTAGAACTTGTTTTCTTCTTTAGTTACTGCATTTGCTGAGGGCGCCCCCTTTGGGAGATCAGATACTGAGCTGACTTCTGCTTGTATTATTCCAGTTCATACGGAGCCCCTTAGAGTTCTGCAGAATGTGAAGTGGAGATTTCATCCCTTAAATAGTCAACAAATTGTCCTAACTTTTACATATATGGTTTTTCCCAACATGCGTAGAAGTCCAAATTCATAAATACTATAAATGGCATTCACAATGTATTACAAAAGAAAAGGAAAAAGAGTCAAAGCACTCATAAAGCCATGGAAAGCAAAGTGTTTCCTCTCTTTTCTAATTTTTAAACTTACTTGTCTTTTGGGTCACAAAAGCGGAACACTGCTCTTCTGTAACCTGCTCTTACGTCCTCCTTAGAGTCTCTCGTTAGCCTCTTTCCTGGCGTTAATCTTCCACCGCCGCAGTAACGGCAGCAACAATGTTGCTGTAGAAATGTAGAGCTCGTCCTTGCATGCGAAAGTCCTCAAGTCCTGGCAGCATAGGACTGTGTCTCGGTACTAGAGGGAGGCCGGCTCTGGGCCGGCCCGACACCGGAAGGCGTGGGGTGGCAGCCCAGGCCTGCTTGCAGCGCGCTGGTGCTCGCGTACACGCTCCTCCTAGTTCCCAACGTCAAAACAGTCTTTAGACCTTGTTGTTTAGGGATAAATGATGGTGCAAAGCCTAGGCACACTCAGTACAGATACAATTTTCTTCCCAATTATTTCTCTATTCAGAATTGGGGGAATTTGTGACTGCTCACCAGGGTCCCTCCCATAAATGAGGTACTATTTGCATGTAGCTTACACCCATCCTTGCATCTACTTCAAACCATGTCTAGATTACTTATGATGCCCAACGCTAGAAAAATAGCGTTTATACTATATTGATTTGCGAGAGACACAATAAGGAAAACATCTGTCCGTGTGCGGTAAAATGCAATGTTTTAATATTCTTTTTTTCAATTTTAAAGAGAAAAAACAAAAACAATATGGAATTTCAAACATGGTGATAGGCAATTAATAATGGTTGTTAACATTGCGTATTGTTATCTTCGAAGTAGTTGCTCACATTGCCACGGATAGGTATGCAAGGTTGATCAAACAATGAGGCATTAACTGTTCCTTTCAATGAACCAATAGAAATTAGTGGCACAAAAAAAAGAAAGTACTAGCACAACTATCTTAGCATATGTAAACACACACACACACACACACACACACACACACACACACTCCCCTTCCTTCTCTCTTGATATTCTTGCTCTGTGACGCGCTGGCTCTGTGGATGCAGGGGCCCACTGGATGCTTTCGGGTACATGCTCACTGTTTTGCCTACAACATAGGGACTCCCTCTGTTGAATTAGGGCTTATCAGCTGGACTGAAGTCAAGCAAGTAAGAGGTAGAGCTTGAGAAGTAGACAGAGGCTAGCCAGGGGACATCCATAGGCAAGGCTTGTCACCAGCTGGGATGGGGTAGCTCTCTCATGAGAAATGGAAATCATGCCTGGACTAAAGCAAAATGAGAACAGAGGCTTATGACAGAAAAGAAGCACGGCTGAGCTGAGCGCTCCACAGGCAGCGGAGTCGAGTGTCTGGTGGACATCAAAGTCATTAGTGGCTTCTTCCGGAAGAGTGGGAGCCTCTAGGAAGAAAGGAAGGGCTCTAGTATGCTTGTGCCACTTGGCACACGGCTCAAAATGTGCTGAGAAATGTCGTGCATTCTCCCCTCTGGGCAGAGATCTCCCTGAGGAGAGGCAGGATGGCGAAGGTGCAACGCGCATCTGGGCCTGGCGACTCTAGCCCACCATTGCTCTGCCTGTTTCACCGGTTCACCTCTTATCTAAGGAATCCAGGGCTCTACGTGCTTTGGAAGCAGCCTGGCTTATGTACCCCCTTCCTGCGAAAGTCCTAGCTGCCTACCTCTGGCCTCTCGGGCTGCTGCTTCCCAATCCTGCCCGTCTGGGGCCGATGCATCTGGGCTTGAATCCCCAGGCAGTGACAGCAGTGACAGGACCAGTTTGTGACTCAGGGAGGGGGTGGAGATGCTGAGCAAGGGATAGTGCAGCCCGAGCGCCAGGGCAACTTTACTTTCCACGCCGAGTGGCCGGAGAGGTGCGAGTCAAGTCAGCTGTTTGTGAGCAGAAATCACACGAGCTGGGTGACTCAAGACATGTTTCTCAGGGACACTGGAATGACTATGTAGACGAGAAGCGCTAGCTCGGGGTCAGCTTTGTAGCCAACTAGACAGACTCTGCTTGGCTAGGGCAAGAAACCCAGGGGTGAAGCGGGTGCATTCGGTTTTAGGGACCGTGTTGAACCATGTAAACCTAAATGGCTCGGTCACTGACTCATGCACTGTCCACAGTGCAGCATGTGGGCCATGCTCCTCCGGCAGCGCCTTGTGCAGACTCAGAACCCACCTCCTGCTCCATTCCCAGGCCCCGTCCCTGCGGCTCTCCCTCCACCCCTGCAGAAGTAGCAGCTCATCTTGGGAAACAAGGGCAGGAGAGGGCCACCGTGGCGAGAAGGACAGGGCCTCCCCTGACCCAGAGCCAGGCTGGTTTCTCCAGCCCTGGCAGCTCAGGGTACCATCTCCACTTGCTTACTGAAGTTGGTGGGCATCTTGGTCATGCCCTACTGGCTGAGGGAGACAGGATTGTCCTTTTTGCTGTGGGCAGAGCCTTGCCCTCAACCGAAATCTTACCACAGTGGGATGTCCACCGTGGAACCAGGAAATGCCACACTATGCTGGGTAAGCCTGGGACGCCAGCCTGCTTACCGTAGCTCAGGCCCCTGAGGCTGACCCAAAGCCAGGATGCGAGGGGAACACAGTCTGAGCGCCTGGGACACTGTGAGGAGACTCAAAGAAGGTGACTTCGGTGGTTCCTGGTGAACACGGTTACAATGGAAATGCAGAAACAACAGTGAGACGGTTGCTCTCTGGGAGGGACAGCCTGGCTGGGCCGACCTGCTCTCACACAAGGGAGTGACCAGGCTGTAACCAGACTGGTAGATGGCCCTCGGTGTTGTAAGGAAGCAGGAGCTGGCCAGTCGAGAAGCCATGAAAGCTGGAGGCGGGCCGATATTTATCACCTGTCCTCCCACCCTGCCCTTTGGGCTATGCCACTACCTGGGCTTGCCCCTGGGCACATTCTCCACCTTTAAAGAGGAAAGGTAGGGATGCCATGCAACTGTCCCTTCCTGCCCCAAGACCCTCAGAAGGAAGCAGATAGCACCAAGATAAGCGGAGTCTTGGCCACCTTGGCCAGCTGCACCTGGCTTGCCTGAACATCCAGACCCTGGTGCCCGGGTGATGGGGTTTTGTGGAGCCCGTAGCAGAACCACACTCTGTGCAGAGCTGCGCAGGACTTCGGGCCCCAAGGACTCTGCTCAGAGCTCAGAGAACTTCAGGGAACTGCAGTATCCTGGGGGACCCTCTGCATCGCAGCTCCTAGCCCGGCCCTGGAACCTCCAAAAGAGTTTGCTACCTGCCTACTAAGTCCATTTATTTTGTACCAACCTGGAGAAAAGCACACTCTTCATCCTTAGTGAGAAGAGCAGGGTGCAGGGCCAGGTGGATGTTTGCCCATCTAAGACGAAGTTCCTTCTGCGTGAGAGGAGGTGCCCCGAGGGACAGCAGAGTCCAGCTGGCTGCCTGCCCCTTTTTCACACCTGTTGCTTAAACATTTCAAACTGAGAACTGTCTATTGCTCCTAATGGAGGAACTTGCCATTAACTGGGGGATTCCTGGGTCAGCCGCGAATGACAGCACAAGCAGAAAGGACGCGCCTGAGTTGTCTGCCTAGCAAGCCCCGCCGTTCTTTCTCTCCAGAATGTTGCTGCCCTTCTACAAACCTGCTATCTTCTTTACCCTAGATGCTTTGCTCCTAAAACTAAAAATAAATAAGTAAAGCTGGTTGGATGTGGTGGCGCATGCTTGTGATCCCGGTCCTCAGAGGTGGACAAGGCCAGCTCTTTCTCACTCTGGGGTTGACCATGTCCCTTTCCTAAGCTTTCCAGTTTCACTGATCACTACTCAGAATTATCTAATTTATCTAGTGACTTTTTGGCCATCTGCCTGTCTACCCTTCTAGAATGTAGGCTCCGTGTGGCAGTGAGGGTACAGTCTGTCTAGGTCACCGTGGCTTCCGCGGGGTCTCTAATGACACAGGCACCTAGTAAGTGTTCAGTATCTCTATGTTAAACGAATGACTAAATGACCACTCAGATTCTGGGGCTCCCTGGAGGATGGGACTGAGTGTGGGCTGCTCTGATTGCAGACAGAGTCCTTCAAGCTGAGCGAGCCCTACAGCCAGTGCACGGAGGATGGGCGTGACGTGCCAGTGACGAACATCTACAACGCTTCCTACTCCCTCCAGGTACGGCATGGCAGGGGTGCCCAGACTGGGGCTGTGGCACAGGGACAAAGTCTCATCTTGCCCGGGTGTGGCTGGGACCAGGAACTGGCATGAAGATCCCTGGGGCTGGTCCAGAGACCTCGAGGACAAGGGACGCCGGCCGGCTCCAGTCCTGTTCGGTCTGCTCAGTCCGTGTGTACACGAGAGCTCAGTCGCCGCGGGGCTGGTGTGGAATGGAACAGAACAGAACGTACAGCCACCGCCGGGCAGGCCTGCTGGCCAAGTGGGTGCCCAGTGGGCCTGGGCAGGTGTGGGCAAGCACCAGGCGGGAGGGCGCCTCGGGAGACACCAGACGGCGACCCGTGCTGAGCTCCTGGGTCACTTGCAGGTGACTTGGACAATTCCCAGGCAATAGCCAGCTCTGATCTGGGTGGCTGGTTGGCCCCTTCCAGGGCTATGCAGGCAGCAGGCCTGATTCTGCTAACGTGGGTGAGATCGAGAATCCGAGCATTTCATGAGCAAACACAGAGGTCCAGCTCTTCTGAAGAGCAAGGAGGGCCGGCAGCGCTAAGCCCATGCTCCTGGAGGGTAGAGGCGGGCAAAGCCACCCCATTAAAGACCACTGACCCGCTGGTCTCCATGGTTCTCATGCCACCCCAGCGTACTGTGATCCTCGCTGGCCTCTGTGGACACCGGGTTTTCGGCCCACATGTGGTGAGCCTGTGGGTTTTGTCTCTCTTCCTGGGAGTCTTTGTTCTTCAAGCAAAACAAAGTCGTGGGCACCTAGCACGGCATCCTCCGGCTTCCGTCAGCATGGTGCTAAGAGGCGGTGGATGCACTGCATAAACAGGGACTGCTAGGGATGGCCTGCTTATAGAATTAGAAACACAATCAAATGGACTTTAAGACCTCTCCTCCCTCCACCCCCCCCCCAAAAAAAAAGAGGTAAGCTCACTGCAAAGATGCCTGTGGGGAACACTGACCCATAAGCTGCCATGGACATGTCAACGTGTTGAGTCACCACGCTCAGAACAATTCCATGGAGCGGGGATTGTACTTCTTTCAAAGATGAGCACAGCAAAGTATCAGATGGGTTAAGTGACCTGCCTCAGGACGCACAGGTGGCAGGTGGTGCATGTGGGGCTTGAGTTCGAACTTCAGCCTGACTTCAGAGCTCGGGCCAGTGGCTTTCATGCCATGAGCTGCTGCACAACGTGACAGTTTGGGATCCTCCAAGATCCGGGAGGGGAGTCCGCAGCTGGAAATTGGGCCCCTGGGGCTGTGTGTGCGCTTCTTAGCAACTGCTTTCCCACTTGTTCTTTGCCAGCCTTCGCATGACAGACAATGACCACTGTCGTCCTGGTGCTATGGGGTTCATTTCAGTCCACGTTCTCAGTCCCCTTGGTATCAGGGCACCGCCCTGGCCCAGGGGACAGAAGGCACAGGAATGCCATTAGCCGCCAGGGCAGGATGGTAGGGAAAGGGGCGCTCTTGGGCACCCTGGCAAGGAGGCTCAGGGGTCTCTGGGCTTCCTCTTTCAGGTCTGCCTTTACTCATGCTTCCAGACAAAGATGGTGGAAAAATGCGGGTGTGCCCAGTACAGCCAGCCCTTACCGCCCAATGCCAGCTACTGCAACTACCAGCAAAACTCTAACTGGAGTGAGTGCCAGCTACAGCCCCTCAGCCTGCACCGGCCTGGCCCGGGCCCCTGTGTCTCTGTCCCACTTCCCTTTGCCTGAGGGAGGTGTTAGACGTTAGCTAGACTTTTCCTTCTGTGGTCAAGTCTGGCCTAAATGTTGTCTCCCAGTTAAGGCCCAGCCCTGCTGGGGTTACAGCTTGGCCACCTCTATCAACAGGCCCTGTTGACAGTGTCTTTGCAGGACGATAACCATAAAGAGTTAGGCAATTTGACCAAAGTTGCTCAGCCAGGGAGTCGTGGAGCTGTACCCCAGCAGGCCCCCAGCAAAGGCTGCTTTACCCCCAGCTCACGTTCCCCACCACTGCCAAGGCATAGTTGATGTCCCAACATCATGAGCCAGCATTTGTTTCCAGAGAATCAAGGTTTGGAGAAAAGATAATAAAGACTTGAGGACTCCATGGTGGCTGGGGGAAGGGCCCAGGGGACCCCGAAGCTCATGCCTCTTATCCATGTCTCTCAGTGTATTGTTACTATGAGCTGTACCAAGCCTTTGTTAAGGAAGAACTGGACTGCCAGACAGTATGCCGGGAGACATGCAGGTGGGTGGCACGAGAGCGGGATGGGTGGGGTGGGATGGGATGGACCTGCGTTGGGGCCAGGCTGCCCACACCCCATCTGTCCCCTCCCCCCCAAGATTTAAGGAATGGACCCTCACCGCCAGCCTGGCCCAGTGGCCATCTGAGGCTTCAGAGGTAGGTTCTCCGGCCCTGTCTGTCCCCTGAGTCCCCCCGCGGGGCCCTCACAGGTGTTCTTTCTCTCTTCTGGCCCTGGGGGTGGCCCAAGGGAGGGCAACATCTCACTGAGTCCCAGAGAAAAGGGGGTGCCCAAGGAAGCCAGAAGATGGATTCCGCCAGGCCCACCCTCTCTGTCTCCATCACAGAAGTGGTTGCTGCGAGTTCTCACCTGGGACCAAGGCCAGCAAATAAACAAACAGCTCAACAAGTAAGTCCACCTCCATCCAGTTCCCTCTGCCTCCGTCCACCAAGCGCTCAGCCTCTGCTGGCTTCCTTATTGCCAAACCCGCTCCTCTTCATGCAGTCCCTTAGTCAACAAATATTTATTGAGCTCCCATCGTGAACTAGGCCCTGCTCAAACTCTTGTTTGACCTTCACCAATGGCATGAAATTCTTGTCACACTGAAGGTTTGAGTGAAATAAGGCATGCAGTAGTAGTGCACTGTGGTGTGCAAGGCACTTAGGCAGATTCTCACATAATACACCGTGGAACAGGCAAACCCGTTGTTCACCTCCATCTTTCAGCATCCTCAGGGGATTAGTTCTGGATCCCCTCTTCAGATCCCAAGGAGCTAGGACATTGGAGTCCCTTATGTAAAACAGCACAGTATTTGCATAAAATCTACCACCTCCCCCACTACAGTTAAATCATCTCTAGATTACTGTGATACCTAGTACAAGGCAAATGTTTGCAAATGGTTGTAAGACTCTGGTCTAGGGAACAATAACGAGAAAAAAGCCTCCACTACACGTTCAATCCAAATGCAATTTTTTCTGAAAATAGTTCATCCCCAGTTGGTTGAATTTGCAAATTGAGAGCCCACCAATAGGGAGGGGAGCTGAGCTTGCATTCTGCTTGGTCACAGTACAGGGACTCATTAGTGCCGCTGCCTTCCCAGCTGGTAAATGCTTGGACCGTCCTTCCAAATGCATTCTGATACTCACTGTTCTATTTAGTCTTATAAAAGACACTGGCCATCATGGTCTAGTGCATTTGTTTCATGGCTTTCTAATGTATTCTGGCCCATTTGGCAAAATATTCCCTTGAGCCTTGAAACTTCTAATCCTACTTAGCTCTTGGACCAAGCAAGTCATTTCTGATGCAAGTTGGGGAGGACTCACATTTCTCCCATCCACTGCCATCTCCCAGGGCACCAGGGCTGTCTCTGTAGGGGCCAGTCTTGCTCTGGTGCTGGGGACCCAGGTGACCAAGCAGTCACAGTCTCTGCTCCAGGGCTCTACCGTGTAGTGGTAAAGCCAGGCTTACACCAAGCATTTGCAAAACATTCCACCAAGCCCTGCAAATCTAAGATCCCCTTCGCCAATTCTGGATCCACAAAAGTATCCTATTATTTCTACCTTTTCCCAAAAGATTAAAGCTTCTAGCAATCATGAACCTCCTCCGTTCTGGCATAGCAGCAAACAGCTAGGACAGAGCCGCTCCTTTGGGATCAGCTTCTGGTTCTATAAGGAAAGAACAGAGCCCAGTAATGACGAGCGTGGGCCGGAAGCTAGTGCTGTCTGGGTTCACGTGTTAGCTTCGCTAATCAGTAGTTGTGCAGATGTGGCATTGCCACTTAACACATCTAAGTCTCGTTCTCCACATCTGTAAAGTGGAGGAAAGATCGAAACATACCTCCTCACCTTGCTGAGAGATTGTGAGAATAAAGTTAATATAAAGTTCTTATAACAGTGCTGGACCAAACAGGAGGCTCCCATTAAATGCTGGCTGCCACTGTGGCTGTTGGCCGCCTTAGCAGCAGCCTACCGTGTTCTTTTACATTACCGGCTGTCTCTTCTATGTAGTTGAGATTGCAATCAGACAATTACCGACAACAAAGTTTAATGAAGAACAGCAGACTAAGGGAGTCTGGCTAGGCCACAGACTTAGCCTGGAGGTTCAGAACTCTTTGTGGAATGAATGTAGAGTCTGAGAACCGGACCAGAACCAGGAGATGAGGTCTAGAAGAAGCTGAGGTATGGAAGATGTAGGTATACAAGAACTCTGAGGTTCGGGTGAAGCACAGGGATTGCATTCTCATGCCCCTGAGGAGCTCAGCACCTAGGCCACCCTGAGCCTAGGTGGGAAGGATGCGAGGGGGCTGGCCAATGGGCAGAATGCCGAAGCTGCTAGCCCACCTGGGCCCCACCTGTTGGAATCTCTGTAGGACAGACCTGGCCAAACTCCTGATATTCTACAAAGACCTGAACCAGCGGTCCATCATGGAGAGCCCGGCCAACAGTGTGAGTGGCGCCCTTGGGGCCCTGTCCAGGGTCTGTGCATGTGCTCCTCTGCCCTCCCCTAGGGAGCAAGTCAGCCCATGGGGATCCAGCCTGACACAGCAGGGTTCCAGGGCAGCCAGGCCTGGGCGAGGCAAAGAGAGCGAGAGGGCAGGAGGCTTCCGGCAGGGCTGGTGCAGGACTCTCGGGGCGCTGGGGTTGGGGCAGGGGCCGGTGGGCAGAGGGTGCCTCCTGGCGCTATGACCCGGCCTCCCTGGCAGATCGAGGTGCTCCTGTCCAACTTTGGTGGCCAGCTGGGGCTGTGGATGAGCTGCTCCGTCGTCTGCGTCATTGAGATCATCGAGGTCTTCTTCATCGACTCCTTCTCCATCATTGCCCGCCGCCAGTGGCAGAAAGCCAAGGAGTGGTGGGCCCGGAAGCAGACTGCCCCCAGCCAGCAGGGCCAGGACAACCCAGCCCTCCAGATGGATGAAGACCTGCCCACTTTTACCTCTGCTCTGCACCTGCCTCCAGCCCCGGGGGCCCAGGTGCCAGGCACACCGCCCCCCAGATATAATACCTTACACTTGGAGAGAGCCTTCTCCCACCAGCTCCCAGATACTCAGGCGCCCAGCGAGCCCTGAGACAGGCTGGGAAGAGAGCTCTAGACAGGACTGCCCGCCGTGGCCTAAGGACTAATTAGGCCCCAGACGCACAGGGGACCTCCTGTCTCTGCTCTAGGCTTTTGAAACATGGCCTACATGCCTACTGTGGACAGGACAGAGGTGGGCATGGGCAGCAGAGCTGCTGGGTCCTGCCCAGCAGTGCCATTGGCCAGGATGAGCTAGACCCTGCGGCCTGAACCCAGCACATCCACACGAGGAAGACTGCAGGCCAACGTACCCGCGCCATCTGGGAGAGAGCCCAAAGCGATCTTTCGCTGGGTGTCGAGAGGGAGAAGGAGGCCTGCAGAGCCCCGAACTGGGGTTCTGCCCACACCCTGGCTGCACTGGGGCATGAGGATACAGCTCTGAGTAGGGAGTGTGGACAGTGGCTACCAAATGCCAACAAGAAGAGACAGCACCAGCCCTGGGGGCAGCTGTGGTGCCCAAGCCATCCTGGGTCACTGGAACTGGGGTGAAATGTCCTCTGCACCCCTAGGCATGGACCTGGCCCAGACCTGGGTGTGTGCATGGGAAGGCATGCAGTGGAGGAGGGTGCAGGGTGTGGTAGGCGCAGGGCTGGGGCCAGAGCAGGTACAGGTCATATTTGCCCACTCCTGGCCAGTGGTGTCCTCAGGACCCAACCTCAGCTGCTTCTTTACCCACCAGCTCAGCGAGCACCCCTGCCTGGCACGATGGCGCATACCTGTAGCCCTAGCACTCCAGGAGGCTGAGGCAGGAATGCCCTGAGTTGGAAAGCGCCCCCAGCTTACCTATTTGCAGAGGCCCTGCCTCAGAATGAAAAATAGAAAAGTAGCTGTTCAGTGAGGGTCTGGTTTCAGTCCCTACATCCAGAAAGAGATAGAAACCCTCCTTCCCCTGCTGGCAGCAAAGGCCAGCCCTGCACCAACAAGCCAGCTGCCCCGGGCCCACTATGCAGCACATAGCTTCTGACCCAGTGTCAGCCCAGGAGCGAGCCCTGTGCAGGGCCCTGTTAAGCACTTCCGAGAATTAGCCCGGGGACTGCAAACCATTGCCCAGGGGCTAAATCCTGTTTCATTTGTAAACTGAGAATATTTTTTCCCACTTTGAAATAGCTTAAAAAAATTATGTGTGTCTCTGTGTGTGTGTGTGTGTCTGTGTGTGAGTGTGACCCAAGACAATGATACAACTTGGAATTTTCAGTCTCCAGAAATAAAAGTTCATGGGCACACTGTCACACCCGCGTGTTTGACTCCTCGTGATAAAGTGGAGAGGTTAAAACAGAACCACGAAACCAGCTAACTTCTTTCCCGGACCTCTGAACCAGCCTCTGCCTCTTCTGTGTGTGGGAGGACAGAAAGTTTAGGTGACTCGCTTGGGTGACACAGACAGGAAGCGCACAGGATGGGAGTCCACAGGGCCTGCGGTCGCCACCTGTGGGAGGCCCGCGCCCAGTCTCTGTCCATCTTCAGGGCAAGATGATGCTGTTTGGGGTGGCCTAGCACCTGGCTTTGTCCTTCATCCCTGGTGGGGAGGGGTCTGCAGGGGTGGAGCTAGTGGCGCCCAGAGGCCTCATGAAAGTGAGAGGTGTGCCGAGGCCTGCCCCCGGCTATGCTGGAGTGCCCACCTCTGCCCCAGGCTTCCCTTCCTGGCCCTCGGGGGAGCTGCCCAAAGGCAAACCAAAAAGAGGTCGTCAGCCCAGCTGCCTGGTGCCCCCTGGGGAGTGTGCTGCAGCCAGGCTGGTACAGAGGCACGAGCCTGGCTTCCGACTGGCGGGCCTGGGTGGCTGCAGCCAGTACCAACAGGGAGCTCCTAGCAGATGCCCCGTTGGCTGCTGGCCAGGGAGGCGCTTCCTCCTCGCCACCCTGGCAGGAGCGGGGGCTGTGCCCTCAGATTCATGGGACTAGCATGATGTCACCACAGGCACATTTCCAGGAGGCTGCTGCTGGGTGTGGCCAAGGTGAGGTCGCCAGCGCCGGCTCCTCTGTCAAGGGTGAGCTCCTCTCCCCTCCAGCTCCCTCCATTCCTGCCTGGCTGAGGTGGTGCCCAGCGCCGCCCCTTCTCCTCCAGTGCCCCTGCCCGGCCAAGTGCTAATGGGCCCCTCTCAGGCCTTCTCAGCCCCTGGAAGCTGGAGCTTCTGCCATTACACGATGTTCCTTCGCTGGATACACTTTTTACCATTATTACGCAAGGTACGGGGCTCTCTAGCACTGAGCTGCATCCCCAGCACTTTTTACATTTTATTTTAGATAGGGTCTCCCTAAGTTGTCCAAGCCAGCCCTGAATTTGCAGTCTTTAACCCTCAGTCTCTCCAGAGCTGAGATTATGAGCATGCGCCACCAGGCCTCCATGAGGACAGGAGTGGTGTCAGCCGAAACAGGACTGAAGACCGGTTGACACTTAGGAAAAGCTTGTGGAGCTGATCAAATCACTACCAATAACAATGGCACATACGGAGCTCTTACTGCTTGCAATAGAATCTGCTACGTGCTTCGTACATAGCAGCTCAGCAGTTTTGACAGCTCAGGTCCTCTTGGAGATAAACGGAGATGTACAGAATTCACCTGAGAGCCACTCCACTAGGAACTGGTGGGTCCAGACCAGTGGCTAGGATCTGGGGACTCAGGAAACTGTTTTCACATAGCAGATTTTCCACAGATGTCAAGTTGGTCTGTTCCTCAGAAAGAAAGCCCTCTGTGGTTCTCTCTGGCTTCAGGTGCAGCCTGCTCAACCCTAAGACCTTCCTGTCCAAGGACCCGGGGTAAGGTGGGAAGGACAGCTGTTGTCCCTGACCACTTCCTAAGCAGCCACGACGGCCACGAGTCACTGACACCAAGGAACTATAGCCAGTTACATTCATAGGTCACGGGAATGCTTGCTCTTGACATGCCCCCATCTGCCAAACTACCCGACCTCCTGGTCTCTCTGCACCTCCAACTTCCCCTGCTGAGGCCTACGGTCCCAGAGGGCATTGCCCTGTGAGCCACAAGTACCGCAGCCCCACATAGTGCAAATCTGCCCTCTCAGAGGTGAATAAAGATTCCTGCCTGACCTGGGGCTGAAAACTCAGGAGAAGGTCTTGGCCAGAAGAGATATGCAGGCAGCAGGACGGCAGTGCGAGTCAGAGTGAGGATTAGGCCACCACTGAGGAAGCGAGGAGGTCGTAGGAGGAAAGGAAGGGCCAGCGAGGTAGCTCAGCGGACTAAGCACCTGGTTAGGTAAGCGAGGGACCAAGGGTTCAATTCCCTGTATGACAGGCAGCACAGGCCCCGGCCAAGGACAGAGTCCAGACGTGGTGGCGCACACCTGTAATCCCAGCGCTGGGGAGGCTGAAAACAGGAGGATCACTACCAGTCTGAGCTGCATTGTGAGACCCTGTACCAAATACATGAAAAGAAGGAAGGAAAGAAGGAAGGAAGGAAGGAAGGAAGGAAGGAAGGAAGGAAGGAAGGAAGGAAGAATGGAGACCCAGCCCTTCGCACTGAAGCCGCTGCGGAGGCAGGGAGAGTCTGCGCAGAAGACAAAACAATGCCAGGCGTGCTCCTTACCACTCTCCCTCTCTGCCACTCTCCTTCCTCCTATCCCAGAGGCTGGACCACCGCGCTTCCTGCTATGATTTCGCCCACTCGGTGGAGCTACTGGGAGCCGGAGGGACACTTAGGGGTGGGGCTAGTGGGACGAAACGCAGTCCTTGGGGCACGGCCTTGAAGGGGCTACTGGGCCTCCGGCTCCTCTTCCTCTCTAGTCACTTCCCAGCTGCCATGGAGAGAGGGGTTGCTTTTCACCCCACGCTCCTTGCTGTGCATCCTTCCTGTGTTGTCACAAACCAAAGCAATAGGGCCAAGCCCCAAAGGCCAAAGCCTCTGAACGCAGGGGCAAGCATAAACCTTTCCTCCTGGTAAATTGTTCATCTCAAGCGTTTTGTCACAGCAGCAGGAAGTTGACGAACACAGGGGCTCAACCAGCAGGGATCACTTCCAGGGGCACAGATGCGCTGGCTGCCGTGGCAGACGCTGCTCCCCTTCCTTCTGCACTTGTCCTCCCCTCATTCATTCATCTTTCCAGGCCCAAACGTCTCCAACTCTGCGATCTCTCCTCACCCGCGAGAGTTTGGAATACTACGCATGACCGACTGATAGAATAAGCAAATCATCCCACTTTCCAGGCCCAGTTTGGTGACCGGGTCAAATCTCTCTCGTATTAGCACCTTCTGTCTAAGGACGAGAACCCTGCTCGCCTGGCCTGTGGCTCTCCAGCCTCATCGAATTTAGTAACTCCATCGTCCACTCCATTTGCTTTCTCTGTGAGCTTTAGCTCGTGTGTGCTACGCAATACTGGTGCTTTCTGCAGCCGCGTTCAAAGTCTTACTTGGCCAACGCAAGTTTATCGAGCACGGTATGAGCGTCTGATGGCTGCACAAATTAACACAAATGTACTAGATGATATCAACATGGATTTTGGTCCTGACAGTTTTGGAGGCCGGCGCTCGGAGCGAGCCTCACAGGGCTTACGAAGCAGCAGAGCTGCGCTCCCTCCAGGGGCTCCAGAGGAGTGGTGTCAGCCGGTGGGCGCCCCTCACCTTTTCCAAATGCTAGAGCTCATTTCTTGGCTCCTGATTCCGTCTTTAAAGCTACCCGATTAGCATCTTGCTTTGGTCATCATGGAGACAACTGGTGCTACCAAATCTCCCTCCAATTCCTTTGTTAAAGGACATTTGGGCTGGGGAGATAGCTCAGCAGCCTAAGTACCTGCCTGGCAAGCGCAAGAACCTGAGTTCGATCCCGGCACTGCACGCTGCACCAGCCCCGCACCGAGCAGGCCACTGAAACTGGGTGTGGTAGTGCACAAGGGTAATCCCAGCACTGGGGAGGGGGAGGATGTAACAGGAGGCTCACTGTGAGTCCAAGCTGCACAGAAAGACCCTGTGCCTAATAATTAGCTAAAAAATAAAGGACATTTGTGCCCGCTGTGGTGACACATACCTGTAATCTCAGCAGTAAGGGGGCTGAGGCAGGACTGCTTGACTTCAAGGCCAGCCTGGGCTACACAGGCAAGTTCTAGGCCACCCTGTACTACACAATGAGATCCTTTCTCAAAAAAAAAAAAAAAAAAAATAAGATATTTGTGATGACATGTAAGACCACTTGATGTTCTTCCCAGGAGAAGAACTTTAATCACACCTGCAAAATCTCTTTCTGTGCCACGGACGGTAACACTCATAGACTCCAGGGGCTTATTTGAAGATATTCTGGGGACTTCGGGGTACGAGTGCTTACTGTGTGTGCCAAGCACTGCATCTCTAATTCAAGCTGATGACAATCCTTTGCCTGCATGGAACTCATGTGTTACTGAGACACGGAGAGACAGACACCATCATCATAGGAAACAGTCAAGTTCTGTAGTGCTGGGAAAAAAGACAAAGCCAGGAGGGGGTGGCCAGGAGGGAGGGCAAGCCAGCAGCTGTGGCAGTCACAAAGTCACAGTGCTACTTGGTCAGGGCTGAGCCGGGAAGAGTATTATCTGAACAACTGGAAGGAGTCTTTCACACAGATCTAACAGGGAGAAGCGTGCTGTGGTGAGGGGGGAATCCACCCCTCTCACCACAGTAAGGAATAAGTTTCTTACTCTTGGAATATTATTCAGCCACTGAAAGGAATGAAATATTGATACGCCTCAAAAATATTATGTTAAGTGAACGAACCCCAGCAGACACAAAAGGTCATGTGCGCATGGTTTCATTTATATGAAAGATGCAGAGGTAACTCGCAGAGGTGGAAAGCAGGTTTAGACTGGGGCAGGAGAAATGGGCACTGGTTGCTTAGCGGGCCAGGGACTTCCTTTGGAGTGTGAAAATGTTTTGGAACTAGATAAAGATGGTGGTTACATGGCGTTGTAGATGCAATGAGCAGGAAAAGCTGTTAGGGAAGCTGTTAGGAAAGTCTGGGCCTTTCCAGTGCAGATCTATGAAGCGGGCCTGCATGAGACACTGTCCTGGGCTGCAGGCCTCCAGCTGGACTTGCGGGAGGCGTTGTGTGGGCTCCAGGCCTCCAGCTGGACTTGCGGGAGGCGTTGTGTGAGCTCCAGGCCTCCAGCTGGACTCACGCAGGATATGAGGAT